CCGGTAGCCCGTAAACAACACCGGCTTTTGCTGTTTCCCGTCTATTCCCACCGGATCATAAATTTGGTGTGAATTGAACCAAGTACAATTTCAGCTTATGCTGAAAATTAAATGCAATAGTCTAATGACGCGGTTTCAAAATGTCGTGTAGATACTAATCTGACACTCGTTCACCCCTATCCTCCCACCCTTGTTAATTAACATTCATCCCTACCTTATCGCACTCGTTGATTAGCGTTCACCTCTACCTTCTTACACTCGTTGATTAACATTCACCCCTGCCTACTTACGAACGCTTGATTTTTGCCTATATAATCCTAACCGCTCGACAATTATAAGATGAGTAAAGCCCAATTCTAGGGTACTCGACTTCTCATTCTTCACGACTGTTCGGCTTTTGCGTACTGAATAACTCGACTATATCCCAATCACGACACATTACATTACTTACATGTAGTGTTCTGGGCTAAAGTGCTCCCGGGTGGACTTCAGCTGAAGGGAGCGTCTTTTGCCAGGCGGGCAATGGTCCGGGTCTGGAAGATCGATCGGTAGGCTCAATTCTTCCTGAACGCAGATTATACAACAAAGTAAAATAATATATTCTAAATTCTGGGCATACACTTTACGTTAAACTTAGTCGACACGGAAATTTAGAAATTTGGTTCATGTTAGGCCCATCCCAAGACGGTCAGACGACTGAATATCTCTGAAGTACCGTCGGTGAAATGGTAGATGGAGAAGAAAGAAATTATGAAAAATCATAAAGGGAAGAAATAAGTTAAGGCAGCCAAGCGTGAAGACAGGAAGGCATCACCAACCGCAATTAACGTAACGCCCGGAATTTTCAAAACCAGTGTGACATACGGCATCTTTTTAGCATAAGCAGAAGCAAACAACTGTGCTTAACGGCATTGTCAGACTGCTCTTTACATTGGCCTCGCGTATAGCCTGCTGGTAAAGAAATCTTAGAATAGAGTAACAAGTTGTGAGGCGAATATCAAATTGGTCAGCCGCATAACATACGACATGTGCGTCGACGCATTTTTTCCTCTGGTAACGCCACTAGGCCAGTAATATTTTGAAAATTTACAGAACTGCAGGTCAGTTTCTTCCAAGTTTACAACCCAAGAGACAAACTTTCTGGAGTAGACACCACATCTAGACAGAGAATTCTCCTCACTGTCACGTGCACATATTTTAGTTCACCTAACCGACACCTCATTAGCCGCTCTCGTATTTTATTAAATACTGTTCCTATGATAGTGAAGGCTGGCAATTTCGTCGGGATAGTCGTTAAAGAATGTCAAGGTTGTTAAATCCGATGTCATAAAAATTATGCTGCATGCTAAGTGCACGAAGGATAATCAGTCGGCCTTGTGGTACTGCAGAAGAAACATCCAGTATCTTTCTTCGGTGGGAAACCTACCAATTAGGCAGAAGACAGAATGAACGTGAGGTATGAACAAATAAGCATGCCGCTGCAGACATACAAATACGATGAAGTACACATTTCACGTCCCCATACCTGATCAAACTAAGAATTCATCTTCTGATTACCGGAATAAATTTGTGCTAGATTTGCTGACGTTTCGGGCAGCTGGGGCGGCTGTCCTTTGTCGAAGCTCTTGTTTGTGAATTTTCTACAAAATGTGCAGTTTGACTTAAAAATCCGCTTGAAAAGTTGCGTAACCGATACATTTTCCGGAGGAAGTAAGCCTGCCAGTGTGGCTTGACCAAGAACGAAAGGTTAGCTCTGTTAGCATAAGTAAAATTTCAGCAAAAAGGAAAGCGACAAAGACCGA